GGCTCACGGGCCCGGACCTTTGCTTGGCCCCGCCCCCGCCCCCGCCCCCAGAATCTTGGAGCGGGGGAGCCCGGTTAACAGCTAAGGCAGGGGGGTGCGGAAGGCGTCTTCAAGGCCGGCGAGCGGGGCAGAAAGAGCGCCCGAAGGCGAAGGGACTGGGCCAGGCGACGGGCGGCGGACCGAAGCCAGGACCTGGACGAAGGCCCAAAATGAGTGGGGTCCTTTTCTTTGCGTGATCCCCCTGGAGAGGCCTGGGCTTTAGCTAAAGTCCCCCAGCCCATTTCAGGGTCCCAGGCCTGGGGCGTCCGGGGAAATGAACTGGGCCTTCCTCTGTGGGCTTCACCTCCTGCCCTGTAGTGCCAGGGTTTGGAGCCAACACAGTGCCTAGAATCAGCAGTAGTGTGTGAACTGCACTGTGACTTCTAGATTCTACTGAGAAAATTCCAGGAGGCCGCTGTTACCCATGAGTGCCCCTAACTCCCAAATATGGGAATGTGCAAAGTTGTGGTATGACTATGCCCACACTTAGTCCGGAAGCTTATTAATAATTCGTCTAACTATATTTGAAGCTACTTGAGGGCAGATCCTGGCATCCTTCACAAACAGGTGCTCATCTAATTGCGGTGCTCAGGAATAGTGAGTAATCTTGCTTTGCTGATTGGGATACTTGACCATTATGTTTTCTCAGTCAGGATTTATGGATCATCATCTCTGAGCAGTGCTCTCTACTAGGCAGAGAGCTATCAGCAGACAATAAAACCTCTATTCTCAGAGACTTTACACTCAGGAGAATTGAATTTTGTTGCTGCCTTCAGCAGGACTGAAAAGAGGCAGGACTTTGCCTTCTGTCTCCTCAGGGTATGGACATAGCCCTAGATTGTAAAGTCCTAGAGAAGAAAGTCTCCTCTGACTGTTGAAAGTACAACCAGTCCTCTTACCCACAGAAACACCCCTTCCTTGCCTTATTTGTCTCCTTTGCAGAGATCTCCTTCTGATAGACAAATCCTACTTATATATGATTTTTCTCTGCCTACTTAGAACCTAGGCTCCCTGAGGGCAGGGTCTTTTGCCTATTTATTCATGGGCAGTACATAATGCTGGGTAAGGAGTCAGTAAATAATTGTTGAAATAATGCATCTTTTCATTGGTTCCTTAAAATAAACGGTGGGTCTTACTCAGCCTTGCAACAGGTAAATGCACAACACACAGCTGATGAATGAATGAGGTGACAGACACAGGAGAGAGAAGTTGCCTATGTCAAAGTGATTTGCTATTGGAGGAAAAAGAATTACTGTCCTGGTCCTGCCAAGAGACTTAGCATCTGTGCCCATCGGTTCTGTCCTCATAGAATCATACAGTAACAACTCCGGCTTGTTATCAGAGATTATTGCCTCCTGACCTAGGCCATTCACCTTCAGTAATCCTTGTAAACAGCAAGTTCATGAAGTTCCCACCGACAAGCCCCTCCCTCCCATCTAGATAGGATGCCATATGCCTGGAGGATGCCACACTTTTGGTGCTATGGTGACTGTGGCTTCAAAATCTTTTACTCTTTATGTCCTGTCCAGTGCCTTTCAGTGAGTGCCTGAGGAAGACAGCAGTGAGATAGATCAACAGCTAAATATACAGTGTTTTCTCTTCCTGTCACCAGACATGATTCTGAGTACACTACCTGCATTTATTCCACCAAAAGCATGTTTCATATTCAGGACAACCAATTGTAGGTCCAAGTTACAAATGAGTAAACTGACACAGCCCAACCATCTGGGAAAAGACAGAGCCAAGATTTAAACCCAGGTCACTGGACACCATCTGAATTTCTAAACCGACAGCAGAGAATCTTTAGAATAGAAAATAAGAAGCACAGCACAGGAGCCCCACCAAGCATGTTTGAGCACACCATGTGTTGGGAAGGAGGGTAAAATGTGTTCAAGGAGACCCTCTTCCCTCTGACTGTCCTCCTTGCTCCATGCTGAAGGATGAAGAGGATTCTGGCACAGTCCTAATTAAGAGAGTCTCTACTTTTCTGCTGTATATTTGAACAGTTGTGCTTATTATTATTAAATAAATTATGTGATGAGTCCAGATAGGCAAATGCAAATACAAAATGAGCACTTTGGCCCAACTAGGAAAAAAGTGAATAGAAAGAAAATGTGAAAACATGGATGAGCTTTGAGGGTGTCATGCTAAGCGAAATAAATTATACTCAAAAAGCATATTGTAGGAGTTCAGGCATACATACATAATAAATGAAACTAGAAAACAAGAACATCCCTGGTGCTGCAAGGGGTTAAGTCTTATCACTGAGAAGCTATCAACAGCCCCTGCAGCACCAGTTCCATCCCTGGCCAGGGAGCTGACACACATGGTATAGCAGACTTCTCCTGTCTCACCTGTTGCTCCCCTCAGCAGGATATTTCAAACAATCCACCTGTTCTGCTCCCCACTCTGCCTCTGGTGAATTCTTTCTCTCTCTCTCTCTCTCTTTCATATGCACACACACACACACACACATACGCACGGCACTTCTGGTCTATACCCCAGTTCTTGTTGGCATAAAAGAGTGTTTGTTGCACAAAACACAAGCTCTTAGACTATAAGAGTAACATGGTGGTTACCAGAAGACAAGGGGCCAGAATTGGCTAAATCAGGTAAAAGGGGTCAGTTGGATGGTGGAGGATGGAAACTAGACTTTGAATGGTGACCATACTGGGTCCCATCATATAGAAGGGAAATTATAATGCTTTACACCCGAGACCTATAAAATATCATAAACCAATATTCAATAAAAATATTTTTAAAAAGAAAATCTCAAGCCCCCTCTCATTCCTTTGTAAATAATTTGCTTTAAGAAAATGGAGCTAGGCCCTCCCTGGTGGCGCAGCAGGTTAAAGCACAGCACAAAGAAGCTTAAGCCACTTCCGCATGAGTTCAATCTCCGCCTGCCCCAGAGGTGACCACAGGGCGTGGCAGACCTCTCCTGATCCACCCGCTGCTCCCCTCAGCAGTGTACTTCATAGATCTGCCTGTTCTGCTCCCCACTCTGTCCCTGGTGATTTCTCTCACCCTCGGCATCTCTGGCCTGTACCCCAGTTCTGTATGAATAAATAAATCTTAAAAAAAATGGAGCTATAGGGGACAGAATTTTGCAAGGATAAATTGGGGTGGTAGTAGTGATGGCAAGGATTTGCTTATAAAAATATTCATTATATATATAAACTGTGTTTTACAATGTATCCTTTGACATACCTGTGGGATGTTACGCATTCTCTACTCACTCCCCAGATCCTTACTGAGTAAAAACTTGCAAAGGTTAGCAAAAAATAGACACAATCCACCTCATGGAATATATTTCATTAATGAATGTATTAAAGAGCCAGCTTTGAATGCCTGCCCAAGCCATTCCCTGGTCCTATAAGAGTTACTTTTTTTTTCTTTTTTTAAAGATTTTATTTTTATTTGTACATACAGAACTGGGGTACAGGCCAGAGGCTCAGGGGCGGTGAGAGGCTTCACCAGAGACAGAGTGGGGAGCAGAACAGGCAGATCTATGAAGTACACTGCTGAGGGAGCAGCAGGTGGGTCAGGAGAGGTCTGCCATGCCCTCTGGTCACCTCCTGGGCAGGCGGGGATGGAACTCATGCGGAAGTGGCTTAAGCTTCTTTGTGCTGTGCTTTAACCCGCTGCGCCACCAGGGAGGGCAGTAAGAGCTACTTTTAACTCCCACTTACAAACTAATAGTGTTGTCAAGAGTTAAAAAGAGAAGACCTGTGGAAAACAGCCCCTCGATGAAAACTGGTTTCATTTCCTTCCGTAACTACTTTTCATTTAAAGTGAGCGTAAAAATTTTCACCTTCATTTAATTTTGTCTTTTACCATATTGACTGCTACTAACTTAAATTAAAATGTGGCATGCATTGATATATATCTGTAAATACACTTTCTTTAGCTTTCTGAATCCCAAAAGTGAATTGTCAATGAATTACCAATTAAGGAGTGTTAAATATGGCCCAGAATTAATATACCCCATTTTCTTTCAGTGTCTCAATCTCTTGTTTGATTGCAATGCACAGAAACTGACAGAAGAACCACAAGTTACTTGAAGTCAGAAAAGGATCAACTGAAATTATCAAGATTAATTAAGATCCTTATTGTAAGACCCTCCCTGGTGGCACAGCACTAGGAAGCTAGCTGCAAGCAAGTGCTGCTTGCTTCAGCGCAAGTTCAATCCCTAGCTCTGGAGGTGACCCACATGGCACAGCAGACCTCTCCTGTCTCACCCATTGATCCCCTTAGCAGTTTACTTTATCGGTCTGCCTGTTCTGCTCCCCACTCTGTTTCTGGTGAATCCTCTCACCACCTACACCTTTTTACCCCAGTTCTGTATGCATAAATAAATCTTTATTTAAAAACTGCTTTTAAAAAAGGCTTATTCTGGCCCTCCCTGGTGGCGGGTTAAAGCACAGCACTGAGAATCTAAAGCCACTTCCTCATGAGTTCGATTCCCGCCTGTCCCGGAGGCGACCACATGGCGTGGCAGACCTCTCCTGACCCGCCCGCTGCTCCCCTCAGCAGTGTACTTCGTCGATCTGCCTGTTCTGCTCCCCGCTCTGTCTCTGGTGAATTCTCTCACCCTCCGCATCTCTGGCCTGTACCCCAGTTCTGTACAAATAAATAAATCTTAAAAAAAAAAAAGGCTTATTCTAAATATTGTAAAAACCAGATAATTTTGCTCCTATCATTCACTGTATAACAAACTACCTAAAAAGTTAGCACTTGAAATAACAATCTTTTTATTATGTGCTGAGAATTGGCAGGTCAGAGGCTCAGGCAGGGTTTAGATCAATGATTCTTCCCTGTGGGGGTCTCATATGGAAGGTCCCAGATGGTTTCACCC